GAAATATTGCATCTTAATGTCTGGGTTCACACAGTATATTCAGCAAATGTAACTGTTTCAGTGAATTGCACTCTAATTGTTGTATGGCGGAACTCGTCACTTTGAAGTCATACCCCTAAAAGAGTTATTTCCCTTGGGGAATTCTCCAATTCCCATTCTGCCTTCCCTTTCCTCAATACCTAAACAAATAAATGTGTGAGTTTCTTTATGTGATATTGCCATATTTACATGAGTGAGTGAGTTAAAATTCAGAGTCACATTGGCAATATTTCAGCCATATCGTGACTTTAAAAGTTATAAATTCATAATATACGCAATTAAATAATAAAAACCTGTCATCAAAGGATAGTAAAACCAACTAGAATATCAGTTTCATAAATTAAAACTAACATCTCTCTCTAAAATTGGATTTCAAATTAGAACAATACAGTATAAAAGTGGGCAATAGATCGCCAACAACTAAAGGTAGATCACCATACCAGGGACCATGGGCACTTACAGTACCTGGCTACCTGCATGGACCCAACCTGGATTTACACCATCCCTTCAGATGTAAGCGATTGTAGACAATTAAAGAATGTGGTGGATTTAAAATTACTTTGAACCTTTAGCAGTTTGTCTACACTGATGAAAATGGCATAGCCACACTGAAAATTCACTCAATCTCAGTACTCTTGACTGATTGTTGGATTGGTGTAAGTTAACTTGTACTGGTTTGATAAGACAATGTTTACAGAGGTTCAGTAGAGAAAAATGGTTGGCAATGATGGAAAGAACTAACTTTGGAGAAAGTACCTGTATTCATAGCAGAGACAACTACCTATACAGTTGGTGGTTGTACTGCAGATCACTGACCCTCCTGTATTCCTGATATGGAAGTATCAAAGTGCTGTTGAATTTGTTTAGCTCACCCTTGACTGAATGTCAGGTGAACTTATGTCTGGACTTCCTTGACTGACGTTTTGTGTGATCGTTGTCTGTAAACATATCATCAGTAATCACTAAGCCCATGAATCTGAACCTACTGATGCTTCATGTAACCATCGATGACACCTTATATTTTCAACCCAGTTTTTCATATTACAGCAGCCATAGTTCAAAAACTGTCTACATTGGTCATTTCTCAATGTTTATTTCAAAGGTAATAATATTTAGCATATGTGTAGTTAGTTGTAGGAAGTTTCAGCAACATTTAAAATTTTGAATTTGAAAGATTTCAGCTTCATATTTCAGTCCTGCTCACCTTGTCATCAAATTGTATTTTATTCAGTGTTATCACTTTCCCTTAACTTGAAATTAGCCTCTACCCTGCAAGCCTGTAAGTCCAGACTTAAAACCTTCTTATTTCTTTGCTATTAATTATCTCCTCTTCTCATTGTACAGTTGTATACAGTGGAAGTTGTCAAAACCGGCAGTTGTCCAATCCAGCAAGTTGTCAACACCGGCATAAAATCTCAGTCCTGTCCGTGGCTAGTGCAGTTATCATCATTTAAAAGCTCTGCAATCCGGATGCTGTCAATTCCGGATCTCAGCATGAAATGAGCCGCCCGAATATGGGTTTATACTGTAATCAGTGCTGTCTAATCCAGCGCGTGGCGAGGATTCGGCTGGATGTGTATTGTCACCAATTAATCCTGCGTTGAAACTACATGGTTGCCGACAAAGACAATATAATCTTAGTTCAGTATGGGTATACTTGTACATGTAACTGGTGAGTTGACATGTTTTATTGTGATACAACAGTGTATATGAGAGTGACAAAACTTGTTCACTTCTAGTCGGAAGTAGCCATGTCATCTGTATAATCCGGCACGCTGTCTAAACCGGATTATTTCTTTAGTCCCGACGGGTTTAGACACCTTCCACTGTATCTACTTCATATTTGTTTTTATTATGTTAGCGCTTTGAGCCTGCCCACCGTGGTGCGGAATTCAGCGCATTACAAGTGCCCTTTTTATTATTATTATCATCATCTACAAAGAGACAATGACAGCATTTACTTTGAAATACCTACTAAGGACCATTACTCATCTGTTTTAATATTTGAGTTACTACTGTTAATACTGGGATCAAATAGACATGTTTTGTTTTCCTGATATTTTAAAATTTGACTTTGATTTGATCTGTTGAGCTTTGATCCTGGTCATGGATTTTCTTAAAACATTTCTAAATATCTTGGCTTCTAAAACTGTCACACAGAAGGAGCTGAGGTGTTCCTCAAAATTGTTGCAACAGAATTTGCCCCAACTCAGATGACATAGTCATTTCTGTATTTATGTTGACATGCTATAACACAACAAAATAAACTAAAAATACTTTTAAAAATGTAAATGGTGAGAGTGATGTATTTTTATACATTTAGAAGAATTGGTGAAGCTTAATTAGTATTATTTAGTATCATTCAGAAAATCCTTTGCTATCAATACTGACAAGTTTTGCTGACATTTCATATTGTTGGCTACATATCCAGGTGAGATATGTTGCAATTGGTTCTACTGTCATACTTACACGGTAATCATCTTTGATAGTAGGAAAGAAACTGAACTGTATTTGATGTGCCAGTGAGGCATCATATCATTTTGAATTACCCACAAACAGAATTATCTTGTCCATGAAAAGCCTCTTGCAGAGCTTACCAACAATGACAATGAGAAAGTAGGAGAGCTAGAGACTGGCAAAGTAACCAGTTGTACTTCAATCTCTCCATGCAACCTGCTTTTATTGCCGTCCGCATATGTGAACAATGTAGGATTAATGCAAGTATTCAGTCAGGGTACTTTATGTGCAAGTGCAAATGAGATCAGTCCTTACATATATTGTGTTGAAAGGGTATCATGCTATGTGAATGTGTGTTAGTAGTTATGTGACGCAGTGTTAACTGTGACATGGTCCATCTAGCAGTTTGTCTGGTCTTGTTTACACAGATCTTCTACATACAGATTGTCTGGCAGTATTGCACTGACTAGAAGATAGCCCATGATTCACAAAGCATTGACTTTATCTTCAACACTCTGTCATACCACTAACCTGTGGTGTCTACTTGAGTAGGCCCATGTTCATTTTCACAATAACACATTATCAGATATCCAGGAACATGCTTAACTGGTTCACCTATCCAGTACTCTTTGTGTTGTCAGTGAAACATATCACTTAAACACAATGTCAGCTTTGAGAAGTCTTAACACAGTGCTCAAAAACTTATGTTAATACGTGGTTGACAGTAATGAGCTTATGTTTTTTGCAATGATTTGTTTTTATACCCCCGCTACGAAGTAACGGGGATGTATAGCGTTCATTCTGTCCGTCCGTCCCGAAACTTTGTCCGGAGCATATCTCTTAAAGTTTACATGCTAGATTCAACAAACTTCACACACATGTTAATCATTACCCATTGATGTGCCTTTTGCTATTTTAAAGTTTTTTCAGAAGTTTGTTTTTTTGCTGTTTCCATGGAAACATGACTTAGTGCCAAATGTGTTTGATGGTTTTGTCCGGAGTATATCTCTCTAAGTTTACATGCTAGGTTCACCAAACTTCACACACATGTTAATCATTACCCATTGATGTGCCTTTTGCTATTTTAAATTTTAAATGTGTGCAACATGAGAGTCAGTAACATTCTTCACCAACGTCCACTTTATTGTGTGCAACATGAGTCAGTGACATTCTTCATCTATGTCGACTTCATTGTGTGCAACATGAGAGTCAGTAACAATCTTCACCAACGGCCACTTTATTGTGTGCAACATGAGTCAGTGACATTCTTCATCTACGTCCACTTCATTGTGTGCAACATGAGACATGCAAGTTCAGTTGTATGTCAGGTTTACACGTGGAAAAACACAAAAATAATGTTTCCATAAATTATTACTGTAATCAGTACATGGCAAAACTATTATCTAACATGTATATAAAGTTTAGTAGAGTCAAGGAGAAAGTCTTGTGAGCTGCTGATCCTTGTCACATTATATATATATATCAATATCAGTCATTTCCATGTCCCAAAGTGGGAAGCGGGGGTATGTGAGCTGTGCTCACTTCTACACTTGTTTAATATAACATAACATTTCTGCTGAAAACGTATATGAAAGTATTATGTATGCACCTTATGAGTAGCTCTTGTGGATTGTATTTGACAATGGACTACTAATGAATTAACATTACAAACTTTCTAGTCAGGAACCTAACAATCATCTTCAGTTTCAGAAAGTAATTTGTGCTTTACAATTCAACAAACTAGTAAAGAAAGAAGGCCTCATGTATCTAAAACAATGTAGAGGTTTGTGGAAAATGTCTTTTTGCATTATTTTCTGCCTTGTAGGACAGACCATTATTAAACTCTATGTATGCTGGAAAACCAGATTCTACCAGATGGTAATCATTGTTCACATGTTGTACTATAAACCTGTGTGTCTTTAATAAAATAGTACTTCATTTGAATCGATATACCATATGCAGGTTTCTAAGTTTGACAGAAAGAATGTTACAGTTGCAGTTGGTTTTTTTATATCATCAATGTAAAGGTGATATCCAACATGATCTAACTTAAGGACATGTAAAAGGTAACTATGCAACACTTATGTTTTTTGTTGCATTTTTAAGTTTTTAAGTTATTGTTACTTATTTTCTGTCATTTTGTAACACATGTATATGGAATAATGTATTACTTTCTGCAGAAATTCTGGTATTTCACAAGATGCACTGTCATAGATACACCAAGACATACATTGAAATTTCACTTTTATCATCTTTACATTCAATACAACACTTACAATCTTTGTTTCTTTACAGTGAAAACAAGAAAACAGATGATGTACACAACATAGAGTAGACTTTGGTTGCCTTGACAGCTTTGACATATAGCAATATTTTAAGAACAGATGAAGGTTTACAAAGTGGACTCACCACTGCACAAGAGATATCCTTGACATCCCCTTTTTATCACAGAATGCTTGAGATCCTTAGTTTATGTGATCCTATGTGCTCCTACATGCACATGCCAGTGATCAAACCAGTAATTTTACAGCAGTGTTGATTAGCTTCTTGATATTTCCTTGTGTGTTAACCTTAAATGGTCAAGAACATACAACACACATCCATAATACAACAACCTGCTCCTGCTTCCTGTAATATTAGACATGGAATGCATAATAATTCGCTCATAACTTATCATCATCTTTGTTCTTCTTATGAGTGGAGCTTCTGAGTTCTTTTTAGTGGCTTATGTGGGAAATACAAATAGCAGATTATGATGATTTCATTAACAGATTTTTTCAGCCCATGTCAAGTAATGATATTCTTTACATTGAGAACAATCTTCTGTTAATAAGTCATCATTGTCACCCTCATCCAGCAAAGTGCAGTAGATGTTCCTCTAGACATGGAACCCATAAGAACATCCTGGTGAGTCCAGCACCTTCTTACAACATGCCCACTTATATACAACCCTGCAGAGTCTACCAGAGTCATCATACTGCTCCTTGATCTCACGGCCCTTCTTGTGGAAGCGACATGCCAGCTTGGTGTTCTCATTCTGCTTAAACAGTTTCTGACATCGCAGACACTGACTTATACCAGCTCGAGGACTCCCTCGGGGTGCATCTCTTCCTTTCTGATTGGACCTTTGCGTCCATGATGCAATTTCATCATTTGGATTAGGATATGTGAGTTGTTCCCCTTCAACATAAACTCTCTCCCCGCCTTGTTTTTCAATCTGCTGATTAGGAACTTTTTTTGATGTTTCTATATCATCAAGATGAAAATGTGAGGAAGTCTGTTCATTATAATTTTTCACAATTTTCCTATACTTGCTGACTTTATGTTTGTAAGAGTTTAGCTCAGTCTGAAGCCAACGGATTTGATTGTTCTGAGATGCAATGGTGGCTAACTGTTCAGTCTTCTCCTTCTTCAGGGAGCTTATGGCACTTTTTAGTTTCAGATCAACAACTGGTGGTGGTGGATCTCTCAGCGTCTCAGTCTTGGCTTTTTGGAGTTCATGTATGTAGTCTTGGAGACATTTTACAAGGTCCTTTGAACTGCCCCAGCTGCTGTAGTCATCCTCTACATCATTGTGAGGGACCACACCAACATCATCAGCAAGAGCTTGTAATTCTGACTGTGCAGACAGGATCATTTTGTGCTGCTTGTCTATCTCCTGCATAGAGCTCTGGAGCTTCTCCTTCCAATGATTTCGCTCAGCTTGGAGTACTTTTTTCAGGGTCACTTCAAGGTCATCTATATATTCCTCGTCTGTGGACGATGCCTGGTTTTCATTGTGTGACTGTTTGTTGTTCAACAAAGCCTGGACTCTGCGTTGGATGTCATCATCAATGATATCAGGATTTTCTTTCAGAGAACTGGCCATATTTCTTCCTTATAGTTTATTCAAATGAAATGTGTAAATATTTCCTTTCTATTGCAGATTCATTCTTGTGATATTATTAAGCTGGTGCTCTGTTCCACGCTTGCCTTTATCATGTCATATCAGTTGAGTCCTGGAATATAAAGCAGGAAATATATTAGTTCATTGAGGTCACTACCAACCAGGAATTTGGAAATATGTAATTCTCAATTTTGTTTGAATTATCAGCTGTTTCAAACCTGTTCATGTTGAAAAAGCTAATTTGTTGGTTGTATCACTCTGGAGCTTAAACATTCTTTAATTTGACAGTGGGGATAGCTTTGTTGTCCTTGTTTGTCGTACCGAAGGCTTATGTTTGTCTCTCTAAATGGGTAGTACATGTGTCTGAAGTCCATCACTAGTATCTTTATTAGTGTATATTGCCAAAAACATAGTACCATACCCACCGTAGGTACTTGAAGTAGTAATAAAAATTCAAATTACTGGTTACAAAATGCAGATTGTGGTCTACAATCTACAAGTATGTCTGGAAATATCTTTTTTTGTCAGATAACCAGACAGACATCAACTAAGACAAGATAGACTAAATTACTGTTGTTTCCTTTGGACATATAAATCATTTGGAAAATGTTGTGTATATATGAGAAGGACATTATTTATAGTAAACCTCCCTATCATGATAAGATGATTAAGATACCCTAGTGTTAAAGATGGTTGGTTGCGTACAGAGACCAGACTGGAAGCATCATAATTATGTTTGATTGTTCAGTTACATTAGTGAGATGATAATCTAAGATACTTAGCAATTCATATATGTAACCATTTGAAAAGGAATAAATACAATAGAAGGTAAACAAAAAGATGTAAATGTTTAAAGAGAATGACAGCACTCATTTTAGAAGATGTTGAAAATGATAATCTTCATACTCTAAGATACTAAGCAATTCATATATGTAACTATTTGAAAAGGAATAAATACAATAGAAGGTAAACAAAAAGATGTAAATGTTTAAAGAGAATGACAGCACTCATTTTAGAAGATGTTGAAAATGATAATCTTCATAATCTAAGATACTAAGCAATTCATATATGTAACCATTTGAAAAGGAATAAATATAATAGAAAGTAAACAAAAAGAAGTAAATGTTTAAAGAGAATGACAACACTTATTTTTGAAGATGTTTAAAGTGATATTATACAGCATTAAATATATACTTAGAACCATATGACAAAACAAATTTTGACAGAAAATAATACCATCATGCAGCATTGTTAGTATCCAGATATACACAGCAAGAGCATAACACACCCTTTCCTCTCCACATATTGTTTCTCCAGTGTTCTGCTTGTCAACAAGCGAATACCTCCCTTGATGGATCCCCTCACAAGAATGTCCTGAAATGAATACGCTAGAGCTGATCTATTTGAAAGGCGTGACAGAGAAGTGAACTGTCAATATTCAATGCTGTAGGCTTTCAACTATCAACATTGCTGATCAATATGTTTGTGTAGTTTCACAAGGGTCAGGGAGGGGCTCATACTCTGGACACTGAAAGTAACAGCTGACATAAATTTGTATATAATTTAGTATATGCAGGGTTCATTATATCATTTGTTGCTGACTTAATTTGGGGAATTTAAATATACAATTGTTTGACAGTGGTTTACATATTCCTGGACAGTGAAAGAGCTCCCCTTGACTGAATATAGCAGCAAAATAAAATTTGATGTTTTCCTTTTCAAACTCTCTCATATAATGTCTCTTATATTTATCCTGTGTTGAATAAGGCAAGATAATTCACTGCCATTAGGCAAATGGCCATGTCAGATTGATAGTTAATCATGGCTTCAGTCTTCTTTCTGTTTCGTTGTGGTTTGAAATATGTGAGCTGAAACTGAAAATTGTTGATCCAAACATGACTGATCTTAGGAAATCAGTTAATCAGTTGTGGTTAATGCCAAGCTTAATGATGCACTGATTTTACTTATGATAGTAAAGAGCATAATCATGTACAAAGTTTATTTATGTACTTCTGTTTCTATGTGTTAAATTTATGTAACATTTTGATCATGGCTGTGATTTCTTATTATTTTTACAAAACCTTCGAATAAAAACACCTACCTTGTATATAGAAGGCTGCATATGAAATAAGCTGAGACGTCTCAGATCAACTCATTCAACATGTTCTTTACCCCTGACAAGATACTCTCGAGTGTACATGAGACAGAAAGTTGTGTGTATTGGCTGGGCCTGTAACAACGGCTGGGGACACCACCTCATACATGGTGAATAACAAGGAGATAAGACGTGATCACCAGCTGACAGATTAGCAATGTACCCTCTCTAACTGGATGAAAGCTGAAGCAGTTCAGCAGTTGTGTGAATCTAGTCTGGGTAGGACATCATGTTTATCTGCATGTTTTGTGCCTCTAGATGTACTGTACATATTGTCATTGTTAATACTGGTTGTATTGGCTTATGGCCGAGGCATGCAATGTGTTGTTCATCACTGGAGGCATTAAATTAAAGTGAATATTGTGAAAATACAATACTACATTTGTCCTGGCACTGATTTTGAGAGTAATGCACATGTTTGAATTTGGTTTATCTTTTGCTTCATGATTTAATGACATTGTCCACAGTCAACCGTTGTAGTAGATATATTTGTGTCACACAAGCTGGGTGCTATTGTCGGCCAGGTTTGGTATCACTGGGACACAACAGCCACAAAACAACATCATCCAGATACTGCTTCTTTGTTACAAATCTTCTTGTGATTATATTACCTTTAAGGCCCTTGTAAAGGACATTGTCTGTATTTGAAGAGGTTCTAATTCAACAAAGTTGGTTCATGATACACTCAGTTTGACTTGAGTGTATGCACTTGCTGTAAGTCAATAACTAATAAATATCTCACTCACTTGAACACAAGACATGAGGTTTCTCTAACCTTTTGGGTACATTCATGAGTTAAGTAGTAGCATTTTACTCTTAAATCATAAAAGACACTGGAGACATATCAGCTTTTTAATTCTTAAAATGTGAAATATTGCTAAGTGTTTTGTAAGACTGGCGGTGAATACTTTCAGTACACATTATATAGGGAAGTGAGCTATACTATGTTGCTAGCTGTGGCTAAATGTTCTGAATCTCTGATGTTCCAGCCAACAACATGCCCTCCTTTTGTCTTACCTTAGCTACAGATATGCATCTGGATATCCAAGTTCATCCCACGAATGTCCCATCAAGATTGCCAGCCCGAAAGAGCCATGTTATAAAACTGTGTCTGTTGTCAATAACATTGTCGGTGCTCAGATTAACATGGCATTCATAACACCCATTGCCTAAACCATTTATAAAGGCGTCCGTCAGACCCATTTAGATCTGGCTGTTTTCTATGGCCTATGTCTCTGTAAAGCTCCATGTTACTTAGTCCCCTTTGCTCTGTGCACTAAGACCACTTGATAATTGGATTACTGGACAATTTCCCTTCACCAGGACTATATCAGATAAGTCATAAACTTTATATTATGACTTTCCAAAGTACTTGGTCACATTAAGCTCCTCTGGCTCAAGTCTTTTGACTTCAAATCTTTTATCAAATCAGTGTTAAGAATTCTATAGACAATATCAAGTATAATTTGTTAATAAACTTACGTCAAATCAGCCCTGAAACATTTGATATTATATTTTGTCTCTTGTCTGTTGAGATACTGACAAAATGTACAATTAATTAAAGTGGTAAAGCCTAATGTTATCAAATATTTTGTGACATGTTAATGTGTGAAAGTACAATGGTGAATTTTGGAATTTTTCTTAAAAAAATAACAAGACAAAGTAGTTTTGATTTGCAATGATACATTTTCATTAAAAGCATTGAAAAACGTTCCTCACAAACATGTGTATGTATCATGTTAAAGATGTATGGCTATTTTCACATGTCATATGTTACTTCAAAAACGGAATGAGAAACAACATATTTGTTAGAAAATTGTTAACCATATAACTGACTTGTGAAGCAAGGGTGGTAAGTCAAGGTTGAAGTCCTGAAGCCTATCAGAGGCACTTCCTGTGGTGATATACCCCATCTAGAACTAGTTGATGATCATACATTCAAGGCCCTCGGAATGTCATGCTGGTTTGCCTTCAGACACACAATGACATGATGACGTTGGTCTTATGTCTGTCCTGGCAGTACAGTGTGGGAATCTCAGGCTATGTCAGGAAGGAGATGCATACAGAATTTATAGCTATATTTATGTAGAAAGTTTACATTTTCATATTCCAGGCTGCTCTTTAGTTCTTTTCTCACCAAATTTGTTTGGGAACTATACTGAACAACATTAGAAATGCACCACACTAAAATGCACCAACAGTGCTCAGATATCATGGGTACATTTCAGTCTGACAGGGATATTTCGTATTATATGGGTGGTGCGTTTCTAATGTTGTTCAGTATATTTCATAAACGGCACAGTTGAAAAGATGATTAGCATATCCAGACAGCTGCAGATTTTGTTCATTTATTTAAAACATTTGATGTGGTTAAATAAAACAAAATGTGTACTTGTTTTGAATATTGAACTATCCACTGGTAATTAGACTGGCATTTACTTCCAGAAATAAAGTTCTCATATTTAATATAGTATCTACAAAAGAAAAAAAAGAACAACCCCAAAACCAACATATCCAAATGGAGGAAAATAATCTTGAATTTCAGGAGCTGAGGCTATCCAGACTTGACAAAATCATTCTTGACTTGAGGTAGCCTCCTTTTCAATGTATTCTCTGGGGTCTTGGAGATGGACCAACTGGTTTGTCATGTTCATCTGAAGGTGGAACTGAGAGGATTTTACTAGAGCTTCAATAAGCCTGATCTCTCAGTATTTCTTTCACACATTAAAGGAGAATACTAGGCAATTGCAATAATTTGCTGGGTGAAAGATAAAGTCATCAGAAACATGTACCCCAATTTTTATTTAAAAAATATGGTTTATTATGTTGTTTTAAAAAAAGTTTCTGTTATCTGAGCTTCGGCCATTATGCATATTCCGCTGGAACTCACGTGACCTTTCCCCTCGTGACGTCATATGTGACTAGAGTCCACCATATTGCCATAGAACAAGCGCTACAGTAATATTAATTGTGTTGTTTCTGTCCTTTTTGTAAATGGTACGATGGTGCATTCCATTGCCTGGGCATGCACGGAATCATCGAACAATGGAAAGATCCACCATTTCCTCCGTTTTCTAAGTAAAGAGACAGATTTAGGCAGGAGAAGTGCTCCGATCATTCCGAGTCAGACGCATATGAAAGAGACATGCCCACATGGGGTATGGAAATCCAGGAGCTGGGCTTAAAGAAGGAAGCAGTACCCACGAGATTCATTTATACTCCATCATTCCCTGTTACAACTTACTGTCAGTGGTATTTTTAACATAAATTAAATCAAGTCCGATTGCCAGTCGAATTGCCCCCGCTACAAAATGACCCAGCAAATTTGGTCAAATCGCCCCAGTGGGGTAGTCAAAATGCCCCAATTTATTTAAAATGAATAAATATAGGCCATAAATGCATAGTTTTGTCAACTTTGATATTATGTTCTTCATATAAAAGTATATACATAGTTATGAGTTTACTAATGAAACATGTGTCAGAAATATTACTTCTTAATAACTTTTAAATGAAGAACATAATATCAAAGTTGACAAAACTATGCATTTACGACATATATTCCATCATTATAAATAAATTTGATGAATTAGAATGAATGACCAAATTTGCTGGGGCATTTTGTAGCTGGGGCAGTTAGACTGGTACACATGAGAAATATATTATCAAAATCAGTGAGAGATTTCACATGAGCTTGAAAATATTTTGCTATAACGTTCTTTTCGGTTTGGAGCCCTAAATGATGCAGTCTACTCGAAACATTGCCGAATACAACGGCAAATCATGAAGTACTTGTTGCTTTCATTGTTTTCCATTTTGTCCAGTTACGCACGTCGGCATCAGACTCGCTATTAATTTTGTCAGTAGTGTGTCCTGACTAGCATTTTATAATTCACCAGTTTTCGGGGAATAACTTATCTGCGTCGCGAATATTATCTCTGCTCGACCAGGCTGGGATCTTGTATCAAGACTTGATACGTTATTAATGAGAACTAGGATCCTTTTTTTTTCAACAAAATAATTCCAGTGTAATTTTTGAAGCAAATAATTTCTAGTTTCCCTCGTCTGAAGCATATAATTATTTTGTTTTTAAATCCCAGACACTCTACAGTCACCCATTTGACATAAAAGGAACCGTAGTCACATTTCCCAAAAATAATTCTTAGGGACTGGTCATATATTTATAGGGGTGGGTTTGCTGGTTGGAACTGTATCACATTTTGCTGA